ATGAGCACACACACGCGCGGAGATCGACGGACGGACTGACAGGTGAGTGAGTGTGGGTGTGTGGGGCAGATGGATTGTAAGTGGTGAGGATTCCTGGCTCCGTGTTCCGGGTTCCGGGTTGCGGGTTGCGGGTTGGATCCATGGACAATGCCCGAGGGTTACGCGCTGTCACGTGAGCGGCGAGCAGGGCAATCAACGAATCAGGCAACCAATCAAGCGGCGTGTGACATGCAACTGAAGCATCTACGTGACCCCGACGAACACTGAATCCCAACCCAATCCGAGTCCACCCAGTGCAACCACAGTGGTGCAAGCCCCTCCCGATTTCCCTCTACATTGCATTATAACTTATTGGCTAGCCTTGCTCTTGACACAATCAACATCCTTTGATTCACAGCCTCAAAATGCAATAAATTGGTTTTGTGAAGACAAATGTTTTCAATATACTAGCTGCCTCGAAAGGGGGTTTAAAAAAAAAAGAACGTTTTGAAAACTGTGGTAAATATCGAATGGATGACCTATTAATGTATACCATTATATATTTTATTTACATTTTTATTTGCATTATTTTAATCTTTAATTAAATTTCAATAAATTTGCCACATTTACTTAAAAGAAATATAATACATCATTATTAAACTATATATTGTAAAAGGGTAAGAAAATTGACAACATGCTAGCAAACCAAATATTTAAAAATATGAATTTTCTAATATATGCTTCCTTAAATTTGGTTATTAAATAATTATTCGATTTCAAATTTCCAAAACTTTTCCATAACTTACTTTTTTGCCTAAGCTCAACACTTTTGCCGGAGTTCGTCGCTACCTCACTTCGAGTTCCAAACTCTCTATTGCATTATAGACTGGCCGAACGTGCGTCTGTCAAGCTGCGAGTCCTGCCCAAGGACATGGCCATGGTCCATGCTGCCAGTCCACCTCCCCGTATGTCAGCACTCCCTACTCCCTACTCCCTACTGCTGCCGACCAACTCAGACAGCGAGTCCTCTTTCCGGCCGTTTGGTCCCTGCGACACGTCAATGCTTTCATCATTTAATTAACTGCTTCGTGTGGCTAAATGGCCAGGTGGTAACTGAAGAGGAAGGATGCGTCGTCGTCCCGTACACATCTCACGTTTCAATTTGCAAGGAGCCCGGAGAACGGACCAATCCTTGGTGGCCCACTTTGCATGCCACGTTTGATTGATCGCTCATCTGGGTGCGAGACCTAAACGGGAAATTCGACTGCCACTTTCGCTCGGCCAGTTGGGAATTGTGAGCAAGTCAGCAGACAGGTCCAAATGATGTTAATGCAATGAGTAGTCGACGGATACTATTGACAGTTCAAAACGATGGAAATTGCCACCTGTATATCAGGTTGGGGCGATAAGTTTACTGATTTGCGTACATTTCAACACTAGTCAGGAATCTCTAAGAAAAGTTACCTACCAAGCATTTTGAGTATATAGATTTCACCCCTTTTAAATACAATAACATAAACACATTTACTGTACCAAAACTAAAACGGGGAATATCTTTTAGCAATGCAAATTAGATGTAAACATTTTTTGAACAACTTTTACAACGCAAGGTGTTTATCCACCCACTAGTCTCCTTTGCATCCTGATTATTGCTAAACTGAAACGCAAAGAGAAAAGCGAGGAAAACTCAGACTATCGCATTAAGAGATAAGCTTGTGTGTGAATAATTTATGGTTTCCAAACAAGCCAAACCAACAAAAGGGAAAAGTTACGCCAACTCTATCTGTACTTGGGCAGATTGAAAAGAAATCCAAAAGCGATATTTGCGTTGATTTATGTTTTTATTTTCTGCATTATTTTCGAGTTTATATTTAAAACATTAGACAACGTCAGCGGCGACACAAAAGAGATAAAAACCGAGCTGCAAGGAACTGCAAAAATAAAACTGCAGCTGCAGCAACAAAAATCCAAACAAATGTAGGTGGAATGTCGAGCTGGAAAAGCGGGCATAGATAAAGCGGCAGGGGCAAGGGGCACGGGGTAAAGGGGCAAAGGGGCAGACAGACAAATAAAGCGGAAATGTTAACAGCAACGAATGGCGCCGGCGACAGGAGAAAAAGGAAGCGAAATTCGGGTGGGGTCAGGGGTTGACTTTTCCTCCTCCTGAATTTTCATTTTGTACACGATTTCCGCTTAAGCACATGGGACAAGCTATCCCAGCTCGATTTCCCCCAGCCATGTGCGTATAATTTATGTTGCAATTTATATATGTATTTCTCGTTTCCCTTTTTTTTTCGGGGAACTCCAATTGACTGTCAGTCGAGCGGTGAAATATTCAGTGGAACGGACAGGTGAGGAGGCAGGTGAGAAGTTGCTGCAACATTCTGTTGACATCAATACCTTGGAGAACTGGAAAGAGCAACTGCACAGATAAAAAATAGGCATTATTTGATATTAGGCGACTTTTCTTACCATTGGGATCAGATTCTAGCCTAGGGCCAAAAGCTTGCATTAAAATATTATACTTTTAATATGGTATAATTTAATTTTTACAAATTTTGTTAAACATTCAACAAACAATCAACTAACCATATTAGAAATTTAGCCTTATCTCATAATGCACAATAGGGGCTGCTTAATTTTTAAACAACTAATCCGAAACTATATGCCGAAGAAATGCTTTAAGGTCAATTGAATTCACAAATTGTATTATTAAAACCTATATATTATATTAAAGAACTTTCAACTAAAAATTGAGCTGTATTTTTTATTTCTTGTACCTCATGCAGCTGTTAAACAATTCTTTCAAGTCCTTGCTTAAACAGAAAAGATCAGGGGAAAAAGGCAAACAAGACAATAAAGGGACCTGCATAAAAGAAGTAAATGCCAGTCAAGAGAGGTCCACAACAGAACACATTCCTTTGCAAATGTCAAGTAAATAGTTGTTTGCTCGACAATTGGCAACAGGCTGCCTAAGCACAAGAACTCCTTCAAGACAATTCCCTCTTAGAGCTTTGTCTTCCTTCTGTTCCTTAAGCCCGTTAAGGAAACTTTAAGCATTAGTAGAAAAAAGGGAACTGATTCTGTTGAGACAAAAGACAACTCGTTGGGAGAGCATTAAGTGAGTATTACTTATTTAGGGAACTTAAATGGCAGTGGGGTAATAAAATAATAAGGAAAATGTAATTTCTCATGTAATTAAATGATTTTATTTCTTCTAACAGCGATTGCTCAAAAAAAAACTTAAGATTGGGCAAACAAACTTATAATTTGAATAACAATAAATTCGTTTTTAAAACCTCACTTCAAAGCCAGGGAAATCGTAAATATTACTTAAATGTATGAAATTATTGCTAGGTATACATAAACATAAAAATAAGTATATATAAACATAAAAATAATATAGAAAAATATAAAATATATTCATTATTATTATAAATAACCGAGCTCAAAAGTTTTGAATACTGTTAAGGTGCTTTAAATTAACTAACCGCTTCAGCAACATTTTTGTTTTACAAAGTTACTCTATTAAAATCGTATTTTGTAGATTTGAAAATCCCCCGAACAAGTCGAAAACCTGTTCCCTTTCGAATAATTTCCAGTAAATGTCAGAGGAGATTTTCCTGTCATTTTCCTTTTGCTTAGCGCTGAACATGGCTTTTTTTATACCTTTATCATGTTATGTGTATCTCTGATAAATTGTCTGCTGGCTGCCATCTCCAACCCGTCCACTCAGCTTTAATTTGCCTGTCATTTCGCATTGCCCGCGAGGGCTAAGCTGACATTTGGCCCCGTCAACTGCCACTCCCGCCGCTTTTCTCTCACATTTTCAGCCAAGCTGCGCACATTTTGTGAAATGTAAGCGAAAAAAGGGGAAAAACTTGCACAGGTCGCAAACTGGGGGCAAAAAAAAAAAAATTCCGTGAAAGGAGGAGGCTGGAATGAAACTAATTACGTGGACGACTTTACACGCAGATAAGACTTAAATCACCAAAATGAAATGAATTTTTTTTTCAGAATAAAAGAGGGAAAATTTGCCTCAAAACGTGCATAACGTCATTAGGCAAAAGGCTACAAAACAAAGTGTGAAAGCCAAGAACGCGACCACGAAGCGGGTTAATTACGCACAACAAAGAATAAATTACTTGGTCCACGGAAATACGGAAAAAAAGGAAAAAAAGGGAAATAAGAGATAAGAAAAATAAGAAAGAAATTAGTAAAAAGAGACCCTAATCAGCTTAGTCGGTTTTCTTTTTCCCCAGAAAAGATGATTAAATTTCTGTGTCAAAATCAAAGGAATATTGCGTATACGCCATGTGTTGTTCGACTTCTTGGTTATATTTTAGTTTGACGTTCTCCGTTTCTCTTTTCCTCTGCTGTCACTTCTCTAAGCTCTTTTTCCGTCTCCTCTTTTTTCTCATTTAATTTCTTTGGCTCTTTCGCATTATTCGCCGGCTTTGTTTTTGCGAGCTCACACAAAAACCAAATAGACTGAGCGAGCCAGAAAAAAAGGCGAAGGAATTTTTTAATTATAAAATGTGTTTATCCGGAATTAATTGTTTTTTTTTGTGTTGTTATTTTTATTTTAGCAGCTGCCCCGAAAAAGTAATCCAACAAAAATAAAGTCTTTTTATCTTTGCGTCTCTTTTTCACATTTCTCTTTGGTAAATTACTCGCATTTTAAGCTTTGACTTTTTGTCGTGTCTAAAAGAGAGAGAAGAAATGTATCCCCGGAGGATTATTAACCTTTTTTAGAAACATTCGTGGGGTTCTTTTCCTCTGAATTTAAAGGAGTATGTGGAATATTTTATACACTTTTTTGAAAAACTCTTTTAGTCACCAGATTCAATCTTCGTGCAGGGAACATGTCTTGAAAAGAACAAACTATCTATTTTCTTAAGATAAACATAAGCAATATAATTATATTTTTTTTAAATATAAGGTATTTTCAACTTTTAACTTTGAAGGGTTTCCATTTCCAAACACAAGTCGTTCATATAATCCCAGAATTTACTATCAAATGGTAAATCAGTCTCTGCCTCATTACAACATTTGTTTTTCAATAAGTTTAGATAATAATTTGTTGCAACCTACAAGAAAATTGATCAATTGCCCTCGCGGTGCTAATAAACCAAATCAAATGGCCCACAATGCGGCATTGACCCGCAAGGCGAAGTCCACACGCCTGGAGAATCCTCCGATGTCCCAGACATATCGACAGCAAGCCAACGATGTAGGAATGCCCAAGGAAAAGGTACCGAAGATGAGTAACAATCGGCGAAACAAGTCATCCAAACAGCAGGTGCAGGATTCACCTACAACACAGTCAAAAGCTGTGGGCCAAATGAGTCATTTTGATCTGACTCGAGCCTCTAAAAATCCGATCCGAGCAGCCGGAGGAGGCGGAGCAGCAGCCGTGGCTCCAAAATACCAAAGCAAGGTTAATCTAAGCAACCAACAATCAAAGACCCTACGAACCCCAGTGTTATCCACAGGAAGAGCTCAAAAACTCACACCCAAAGAGATCAAGGAGTTCAGGGAAACCGAGGAATTTAAGATGCTAAACGAACCCAAAGAAATCCGAGAACTAAAAGAAGCCAGAGAGTTCAGGGACTTTAAGGAACTCAAGGAGGCCAAAGAACACAAGACACTGCATGAGCCTAAGGAATCAAAAGAGCACAAAGAATCCAAAGATTCCAGGTTAAGGGGAGCCCCTAAGTCGCCCAATCTCAGCCATCGTAATTCACGGCACAACAGCAATCGCACCAAGAACTACTTCGACAAATACCTAAAGTTCGCCTTCGATCTGAGCACTCCGGATGGTGTGCAGAAACTTGAGGCCCATTTCTTTCCCAACCAATCCTTCGAGCAGGCTCCGAATACCACTGGCAATTTAAACTTTAGGCGAGAGGAACCAGTTAAGCCCCATCTAAATCAGATCTAATACAATATCATAGTCGATCGAGCCAAAATTTTCTAGTTTTAAAACAAGATACTCTTAATTTGCAGCAACTATTTAAGAACACTTTAAAATTGTATTGAAACCTTGTGAAAAGCAAATGTTACAGAAGTTAATAAATCTGCATTGTTTACTAAACGGTAATCCTTATTTATGGATAAATAAATTCGTATGTTCCTCATATACAAAATATCACATTTAAAATAAATTTAAGATTTTGTAACAGCATTAATATTTTCTTTTTTATATTTCGATTTTGTAACTGTTAAATTTGTCAACCAATTTAAATGTTTAAATAATTAAGCAGTGCGCAATTGATGTACGAAGGGGATTTAAGCCCCAAAGTCTAATGAGCGTTAATAACACTTTTGTGGGTGTTTGCCAAACACCGAAAAAAATCCACTGCACAAAGGACTATTCAAATAGTGTGCAGAGCTTAAATGAAATTTATTGTGTGGCCCAAATGCCTCTCTCTTTTTCTCTATGCAAATGTATTATGCTTTGTTCAACATAAATTTACGCGCACATACTCATACATGTGCGCACACACTTACACACACTATTACACACTTACCAACACACACGAAACGCTTATTCAGCAAAGCAACAAAAGCTGCGCATTGGGCATTGTAAATCATAATCAAAACAATAGAACAAATGAAGCTAATGTGCCGCATGCAAAACAACAATCGGATAAATGAGTGGCAGAAAGAGACGGACCACATTGGAACAGGATAGATGATCCTGGCCATTAAAGCTGGAAAATTAAAATGCGGAATATATTTTAAAGAGTTTTTCTTTGTAAAGGTTTTGCTTTACCATTTAAATAACGAAAACACATATTAAACAAGAGAGAACGCTATAGTCGGGTGCCCCGACTATCAGATACCCGTTACTCAGCTAAAGGGAGTGCGAGGGAGATGGAGATAGAAACTTTGATCACGCATAACTTTTTAACGAATGGTCCGATTTGAAAATTGTTTTCTACATTTCGATAGGTATTGATAAACACAATAAAACTGCATTTTTACTTTTCCGAAATATTTAAATTTTTAAAATCGTATATAAGCGATTGTGGGCGTTAAAGGGGGCGTGGCACCATTTTGAAACAAACTTGCGCTGCGTAGGAACTTCTAAAATCTACATGCAAAATGCCAATCTTCTAGCTTTTATAGTTTCCGAGATCTCAGCGTTCATACGGACAGACAGACAGACAGACAGACAGACAGACAGACAGACAGACAGACGGACAGACAGACGGACAGACGGACATGGCTAGATCGACTCGGCTAGTGATCCTGATCAAGAATATATATACTTTATAGGGTCGGAAACGCTTCCTTCTAGCTGTTACATACTTTTGCACGAATACAATATACCCTTTTACTCTACGAGTAACGGGTATAAATACATTATTTTAAAGGGTCCATTGGTATTTCTTTTATACCTCTATGGTAAATATAAAAAAAAAAAATTTATGAAAAGCTACTTGGTTAGATTTTTTCTTAATTTAAATGCAGCAATTTATGTTCATATAAAATTATCATTTATACATGAATATTTTTATTTATTAAAATGTAAAAATGGAATCATATGAAATAAACTAAAAATTTTTTTAAACAACTAAGAAGCAAGGCACATCGGAGATAAAGGTATGTACATTAAGAATAATTTTCTCATCTTTATGGTTTTCTCGTTTAAAGCGTTTAAATTCCATATGTTTTAACCATTTAAAACTTACTTTTAACTTAATCTAGGGTATCCAAATAAAAAATTTCATAGAAAACTTTTCCTGTCGAAAAAAAAAATGATTGTCAATGTCGGCTGACCGATGCATTGTGATTTACTGCCTGTGCTTGTGCATATTTTATTCAATTAAATTTTCTCAAAAAAAAAATATATTAATAAAATCGTTCACAACAATGGCGCGTAATTAGTGCGAATTGATTTATGCGACTGCCGGCGCATTGATATTACCGATTCCGATGTATAGTATAACAAAACGTGCGTAATGAAATGCAAACAGTGCACAAAAGAAAACTGATTCAATTTTATGATATTAAACAAATTATTATCTGCAACGCTGTGTGTAGCTGGTTGACATCGGGTCAGATCTATTTTTTCCAAGCATTTGGTCCCCTTCAACCAGCTGTAGCCAGTGGTTGGTGACAACGAAATACGAGTGAACTGTGATCGATGGCAAACACAAATTATTATTTCTGTGCAAAAAATAATAAACAATAAACAAAAGTTAATTGGCACAAAGAACATAAATTTCACTAAAAAATGTAAGCGCAATTAATCTGTTAAAATATGGGCTATACGTATGATAAATATTTACTTTAAGTCATATATGTACATAAATATTGGTGCAAAGCTGATTATTAAATGGTATCTATGGAAAATCATCTTTTTCTACTTTTATTGTACTGCACTTTAATCCTTGATTATAGCTCAACTATGCACATCATCTTAACAGAATAACACAAATGATAAAAATATCTATATAATTTTGATTTTTTAAAAATGAATAAATAAACAACCTAAAGTTTTTCCCCCTGAAATTTAAATAATTTTATACGAGCGCTCTAACGACTTCAATAAGTTCTTCTGATCTGATTATACAATAAGCTGATTAAGAAATCCGGATCAAGTCACAAAAGCGAACATACCATTTAGTCAATTCCTCAGATTATCAAAATCAGATAGGATTTGGGAAAATGCACTTTGGCAGCTTCACACAAGTAAAGACAAATGCAGGAAATTTTGCTGTATAGACAATTTGATGTATTTCAAGTAGACCAAATAACTCACTTTGATGTTGAATGCATTAAGGCTAAGAGCATTAAGTATTTGTCGATTAAATATATTCGCACACACACTGTGATGGCCATTGTGTGTATTATATGCAAATATTTGATGAAATTCTGGCAAAGGCAAATACATGTGCTCCGCTCAAGAAAATCAAACATTTGGCAATATGCAATGGCATTTCACTTGATCCCTGATTCTTATCCATGGATTCAATTTCGGTGAAGTCGCATAAACGCGGACTATCAAACAAAATGAATTTAATTAATTTTGTAACCGAGTGGCGTGAGTGAGGGATATCCACTTAATTAGTTAACAAGCTGCGTTGGCATTTGCACTCTAATCAACTCGAAATTTGGCAAATCAAGTGATATGTAAATAGCTGCCGCTCCAAAAACCGACTACAATTAATAAAATGTCTGAAGAGCAGATTAGAAATGTTGAAAATTAAATCATCTGACCATTTGGCCGTTTCATTTATTGCATCACCCAAGCGAAAAGTTTTAATTGTGCTGTAGAATTCTATAGGTAAGGAAAAATGTTACCTTCAATAAAATTATTTGAAAAGTTTGTTGTTTGTTTTATTTGTTGTTTTTTTATTTACAAGAAATGTATACAATGAAATATTTATATACAATAAAATAAATCACAGTATGATGTAAAATTAAGTATTAAGTTCTATATCTCAAATCAAAAATAATTAAAAATGTATAAATATATTATACATGTGGAAAAGTTTTAATTTTATAATATTTGGACCCCTTAATAATTTTATATATATGCTGTAATCAATTTCTAAGCTTTTAAATGACTCGATTCTTTTGATTAACATCGATAACCACTTTTCTTTAATAAAATTAGAAACAAATGAAGAAGAATCTAAAGTGGTGATTCAGTTGATATAACTGGTGAAGCTATGAGGCGACTTTTACTTACTTTCCCAATACTAAATACGTATCTAAATATAAAAAAATGTCTCTTCTTTTTAATGATTAAAAAAAGGTTTAAGAAATAAGACAAAATAGACTGTAAAAAAGAAACCGCTTCGCTGGGCAAACTTGATCAAAGACAACTTTGGCCCGGCACGTCCATAAATTATTCAATTATGCGCAACCCGAAACGAATCGAATCGAATCGAGCTGAACTCAACTCAACTGAATTGAAAGTTAAAATTGCATTGAATTTCAAAATGGTCGGCGTTTAATGAACGCCCAGCGAAATGGAGCAGAAGCAAAAAAAAATAAAATAAAAAAGTCCAACGCCCTCGCACTTTTTTTCTGGCCAAATGAAATTCAATTTAATGTAGATTTACATGCAGTCGTCGAGGTCGAAGCAGTTTTTCTTTATTTTTCAATGCGAACGCTTGACAAATCACCGCATCGAGGAGCAGAAGTAGCTGAAACTGGGTGGATCGGGGAGATGTGACTGCGGCCGTGTCATGAAATGAAATCGACATGAAACCAACGTGACCAACGTCATTAATTATCGCCGGCAACGCCGTGCACTGCTAATTACGACATGACCGGCACCCGGAATTCCAGCCTCATTCCTCTCCAGGATCCGAACTCTGGGAGTTGGGGAAAGGGACTATACGGAATCACCGGGAACACGATGGCGCACACTTTGCATTCTGGCCACGAATAAAAAGTGTGTGCGGCCAGCCGCAAATTTATATGATGGGGAAACATCATGCAACTCCGCTTGGTCTCCAAAAAAATTATCATACATCTATCCTGGAAGTACTGCAAATGCGGTAGGCCAAATATTTTACATATAAAAAGTTTACATAAAAGTTTAGTATTCCATTGGTTGATCTGAAAATCAGATCAGATTGTGTTTTTGATTTCATAAAGGTATCAACTGATTCCAAATAAAAGGTTTCACCAAAAATACTAAACTTGAATTGAATTTTGAAAATCGAAATAACCTTTGTGGTAACTTCTAGAGTTCATAACTTTAATAAACTTAAGCCGATTCCAAAGTGGCATACCTCTAAAGACTTATGATTCGATTCTCTAAAAAATGCATTCAAATTTTACATTTTAACGTTGATCCCACAACTGAACTTCCGAAGTCCATAACTTTATTAAACTTTATTCGATTCAAAAGTGGCATACCTCGAAAGACTTGTGGTTTGATTCCCTAAAAATCTGCATTCAAATTTTTCATTTTAACGTTGATCCAATTTTTGACCCATTTTCATGTCATTTATTTCCAAGTTTCCCATGTTTTGTTAAAAGGTGGCCCACAACTTGTTTTCCGAAGCCCATAACTTTATCAAACTTTATCCGATTCAAAAGTGGCATACCTCGAAAGACTCGTGGATT